AACAGGAGGGAAGAGGGCAGCATCATAGCCACACTGGTCTGAGAGGGCCAGGCTGGCCGGAGGTGACCTGGTAGAAGGGCAGAGCAGGGTGGGATCTGACCCGTGAGGCTGCCTCACAGGCTCTGAGAGGAAACCCTTCTTTCCTGGCACAGGGATAGGTCAGACCTTCCCCTCACCTTTCTTCTCTGTGATCAGGCGCACCAGGGCCCCGATGGTGTCCTCGTTGGCATCCTCAGCCCGGTAGGCAGGGTTGTTCCCTGGGGTCAGAAGAGAAGGACGGTGATCCTGGGGAAGTGAGGAGGGTGGACCGCCAGGCTCTGGAGCTACACCAGGATGTGGCAGCAGAGGGCGCACCAAGCCTTCCTAGGAGCTGGGCTACAAACCTGGGTGTTTATAAACCTGTTCCAGGCCGCAGCTCTAAGAAGCTTATCATCACCCTCAGTACTCAGCGTCAATGCTCCCTGCACCCCAAAGCCCCAGGTGCTTCGCAGCGACAGGGCCATCTGAACTCCACAGTCCCTGCAGAGAGTGTGTGTGTGTATGGGGGGGAGGGTAGCCTCTTCTGGGGCCTGCCCTCTCCCCTCCTGCAAACAACTCCTGAAAACTCTGCCAATTCCAGGCCTCTTACCTACCTCCCTGCACACTGTCCTGTCTACATAACTAATTGAGGGCCCTTGGCCAGCTTAGGGCCCAAACCACAAAAGCATGAAAACAGGCCAGCAGCAAACAGCTCCTAGGACTTGTACCCAGGCAATAGCCAGCAGTTAAAGTTAGTCCTAGGCTAGGAAAACAAGGGCGGTCCAGGCGAGATGGCCTGAGTTACCACCTTCCTCCTTGCCTAAAATTCCTGCCCACTTCCTGCCCCCTCCAAACTCCAGTGTCAGGACTTGGGAAGGGCTCTGGCCAGCCCCAGGCAGCCTGGGGAGTTGGCACTAGAGGTGACATTCCAATTTTGACTTGAACACAAGGCTCCTGTGGGTAATATATGTGCCCATAGGGCCCCTGCCCTACTGGCCTTCAGGGTATAGTAGGGAGTAAGGAGGAGAAAAGGGCCCAGGGCCCTGGGGTAAGGGCAGGAGGAACACGTCTCCCTTTGGTTCCAGGACTCGTAACTCAAACCACAGCCTGCAAACCCAAGTCTCTCCTGGTACCTGCCCAGGGCTGCTTCAGGCCAGATGTCAGAGGTCACTTTGAGTACCGAGTAGGAAAGTCTGATCCTTGACCNACAGCTGCCCTTCCAGCCCTTCAGGCCAGATGTCAGAGGTCACTTTGAGTACCGAGTAGGAAAGTCTGATCCTTGACCACACACACAACTGTAGCTCTGAAGAGTCCAGATCCCTACAGCCAGGTGTGGCCTCACCCAGAGTGGGAATCCCACTAAAGCCTCTTAACCTGCTCTGCCTCTGCTCTGCCCCATCGCCACCTTGGGCCACCTCATCATTTCCTCCATCTTGTCAGTTTGCAGTATCTCCTCTATGGCCCACAGGCAGCACCTCCAGGAAGCCCTCCAATCTGCCCTCTTCAGGCCTCTCCCTGTCAGACCCTCTGGGCCAAGCAGAATTCCTCAGGCAGCCACCAAGCTGAGCTGGGCTGGGCTGGCCTGTGCCCTCTGGCCTCCCCAGGACCCCAGACCAGGCCTCACCGCTGCCTCCACCTCCGGAGCCAGGCCCGACTTCCTTGTGGGCAGTGCAATGGTAGCCCTTCCGCTTGAGCAGGTTACACACCAGGATGCCCAGCAGCCCCATGAGGCAGAAGATAGGAACGATGGCAATAACTGCATACTGGGCAGCCGTCTCCTCGGGTCCGCCTGCCCGTGTGCTGTTCCCAGGCTGCCGTGTCTCCCCAGTGCCGCTGACCCCTGCTGCCACCTCCACACCACGTCGGGTCCGCCATCTCCGATCTGAGCACGATGGAGGATAGAGGCATGGAGGCAAGACAGGCAAAGGGAACCAGACACTCAGAGGCCCAGGGCCGGGGTTGGGGGGTGTGCGTGTGCGTGTGCGGGTTCTGATGTGTCCAGAGCTGCCCACTCCCTGCCCCAGAGCTGCCCACTCCCTGCCATGTTGGGAAGCAAAGGTCAACTCACCCCCAGGCCCTCCTATTTGGCCATCTGATCAGTCAGCCTGAGCAAGGCCTCCTTAGGCCTCAAGATGGTCAGAACCTCATCCCCCTGTCACCTCTAGTGCTAGGTCAGAGGCATGAACACTCGGCACCTGAGTGCATGCGTGGGCACAGGGATACTGGATCCTGCCTCCCCATGACCTGGTCTGTGAGTTAGTTGATAGGGTATGTGTGTGTGTGTACACAAGCATGTGCTCACACTCATCTGCATGGGTGTCTTTAATGGGGTGAGGCCACCTGCTGGATGGTCTCTGCCACTCAGAAATGAAGTGGGTGGACACATAGCCAGTGGAACAATGGACCACGTCCTGCTAGACACCCCTGGCTGTGCACTCTCCTATGAGCTGAGGGAATGAGGACCCCACTGGCCTGGATGGACACTTGGGGGTGGTTCCTAGGCTCAAGCTCGCCAGACCCCCTCCCACACATACCCTCATCTGTCCTAGGCCCCATCTGCCACTTACCATAACAACTGCGAGGACCCAGAGGTGTCCAGGAGCATGGCTGACAGGGAACATGGGGGACCCTTGAAGGGGCAAACCACCTACAGGGGGGGAGACATCAGTGAGACCCAGAACTTTCCTCAAAAGAGACTAGACTTTCTACTGGACACCCACACTGGTCCTTACCCATCTCCTTTCACAGATGGGAGGACTGAGGCCCACTCAGGGGTTGGGTGAGGCTGGGGCCCCAGGATCCAGAGTCCTCGTCAACCGGCATGAGCCCCCGCACCCCACCCCATGGCTCACCCAGGCTGGCAGTCTCCACATACGGTGTCTTGAGTCACTGTGCCCGCCTGGGCCTCCAGCCTCCCTTGAAGGCTGCAGCGGGAGTGGGACTGGCATGGGCTAGAGCCCCACGAGGCTGAGAAGGTGCCCAGGGGGCAGGCCCTGCATAATGTGCCCTGCCCCGGGTCCTGTGGGAGGGAAAGGGTGAGAACAAAGCCAGAAGCCAGGCCCGAGGTCTCCAGGAAACCCACCCCAGCCCTCAAGAATCCTCCCAGGACAGGGCAGGTGGGCAGGGTGAGCTCACCAGATTGGGCTCCTCCCCAGGTGGGCAATGCCAAGGGGTCATTGATGTTGGTGTAGCCAGAGGCCAGGGCAGCAGCTGGAAGAACAGTGGGCAGGGCACACTGAGCAGAAAGCACTGGGCCATGGCATCTCTAGGGCTGTCTATCCACCACCAGCTCCCTGAGGCCCCAGGAGTGGACTGAAGACCTCCAGGCTTCAGGGATCCTCTCTAACCTCACCCTCATGCTGAGAGTAAAGCCTGCTCATCCCAGACCTGCTGCATGGCCATTGCTCAGGTAGGGAGAGACACTCTGCTTTTGGAAAATGCTGGAAAGCCCCAGACAGGGCCTCATTAGGATCTCAAGCCCTCAGGTCTCTGAATCACACCCCTTGCATCCTCCAGGATGAGGGGGAAATGCTTCCAAATTCCTCTCAAGTTCCGCCCTGCTTCCTGCTACCTCGCCCCCCCCCCCCCCCCC